AATTTTTGAGATTACGAATTTTTTCAGATGTGCTCCAATTTTGGATTACTAAAAGTGCATCTTGTAGTCCACGTGTTACTGATCATTTCTGACACCTACATGACCTACTTCTGATGAGTGATGAGTAAGATATTGAGTTGTGAAGTTAAGGTTTTTAGTGTTACATATGACTTGTGACTGTAAATTCGAGATTCACACCAATTCTTTATTTACCTTATAACTTTTTACACACACCTCCGTTACTAATGATTTAAAGTTTGTACATTATGTAATCCACTCTTCTGCGTTGAATGAGCTATCTACCAACCTATTCTGACGTCATTTGACATATGTAATTAGCTGAAAACCTCCATTTTCCACGAATTTCACCCATTTTCTTCACTTTTCACAGCTACTACTAAGCCTTTCTTGCTCATGTAATATTACATCATCATCTATAGCCTTAAAAATCCCGGAAAATCCTCTTGGAAACCTTAAATTCCATCACTACCACTATTACACAACCAAACTACACGTGTACCTCTTGTTTACCAACTTCGAAAAAGTGCTTTTTTCCTAATAACTTCTGTTTCTACTTATCAACCTTGAAGATTAAAATTGTCATAGTATCATATAATGTTGTTCTTTCATATTCTAACCTCATAATACCCATAACTTTATTTTTACTAACCTAAAAACCATTTTCCAACCTTTATACCTATAATTTCGAATTTTTCTTATGTTTTTCTTTCTTTCTTTTTGTAATAAATTTGTAAGTAAACTATAATGATCTTAATATATAATGTGAAATAAAATGATGTAATGTTGACCTAATGACCAATACATAAGCCTACAAGAGCTTCAATTGATCAAAAACCTCCATTTCGAATTTTCTTTCCTGCTGAATCCTGCTAATAAACTGGTAAACTGGTAATTGTGAATTTTTTAATTGATCCCATAAATTGATCACCACATCCTCCTCTTCTTCCAAACTGCCCCCAGTTTATCAATCAAAAAATTCAATTAAACACTCCAAATCACTAAATTCTCGAATTTTCCTTTATTTCCAATATGGTCAACACTGTTTCACCTTCTGTAGCTTCACCTTGTGTCCACTGCCGGATGGTAAACTCCTCCTGCCACTATCAAATCAATCCTGCTTGCCAAAGATGCCATAGTCTAGGAATAATATGCTGTAAGTCCAATTTCTTTCTTCTATTTCTTTCTTCTTTTCTTTATAATAAGTTTCAATGTTTTTATTTAATTCTTTTACTAATTTTTAATGTCTTTTCTTTATTTAATTTTAATAGCCTACCCCTCAGCGCCTTCATCCAATAATTCACCTGT